GCTTCCATCTGCGCTCATCTGGATCACCCCCAGACCAGCAGCAGCCAATCGGATCCCTTCCAAATACATCAACCGTGTGACAGAAATTCAGGGATTCAATGACCCTCAGAAGGAGGAATATTTCAGGAAGAGAATCAGTGACGAGCATCAAGCCAGCAGAATCATCTCACACATCAGAAGAGCAAGAAGCCTCCACATCATGTGTCACATACCCATCTTCTGCTGGATCTCAGCCACTGTGCTTCAAAACATCCTGAAACAAGATCTCAGTGCAGAAATCCCTCAAACTCTGACTGAAATGTACATCTACTTCCTGCTCATTCAAACAAATATGAGGAACCAGAAGTATGAAGAGAGAGATCCAGAGAAACTCCTGCAGTCCAACAGAGAAGTGATTGTGAAACTTGCTGAACTGGCTTTCAATCAGCTGATGAAGGGCAATGTGATGTTTTATGAGGAGGACCTGAGAGAGAGCGGCATAGACGTCACTGACGCCTCAGTGTATTCTGGGATTTGCACTGAGATCTTTAGGGAGGAATCTGTGATTTATCAGAGGAAAGTTTACAGCTTTGTACATCTGAGCTTTCAGGAGTTTTTTGCAGCTCTGTATGTGTTTATCTGCTATTTACACAAGAACAGTGAGATTCTGAAAATGTTCCTGACAGGAAAGTTCAGAAATCAGTGTGAGGATGTTCTTCTGAATACGTTTCTGAAGGGAGCAATCACTAAAGCCTTAAAGAGTAAAAATGGACACTTGGATCTTTTCCTTCGATTTCTTCATGGCATCTCACTGGAGTCCAATCAGAGACTCTTACAGGATGTACTGATACACACAGAGAACAACCCAGAGAGCCTCAAGAAAATAATCCAAAACCTCAAACGAGGTCAAAAAAACAACGTCAGTCCTGAACGATGGATGAATCTATCACACTGCTTGATTGAGATGAAAGATAATTCTGTTGTTAAAGAAATGCAGGCATTTTTAAACTCTAAAACAAGCAAAAAAAATATTTCTCTTGCACAATGCTCAACTTTGGCAAACATAATCCTGATGTCAGAGGAGGTGCTGGAGGAGTTAGACCTTAAACAGTACAATATCAAAACAAGAGAGGGTCGATGGAGACTGTTACCTGCTGTGAGGAACTGCAGAAAAGCTTTGTAAGTGTGAAAAGCTAAACACAATTATATTTAACATAAGGTTCAACATAAGTTGTAATGGAAGTTTGATGTGTTTTATTGGGGTTTGTGTTCACAAGCATAAATGTTAATTACTGCAGTGAGTGATGTTTTCATTCCCAAACAATCAATGCTATTAGTTTTTTTTTTTTTTAAGATTTGTAGAATGTAAAAAAAATTGCTTCATGCTTTGTAAACTTAACCAGTAAATGTAGTCTGATTCTGCAGTTGTTTAGGTGATTTTAGTCAATATAATTGGTTTATGTAATAAAGTAACTCATCAAGTAAATCATATTATCAACTCCAGTCCTGGAGGGCCAGTGTCCTGCTGAGTTTAGCTCAAACCCTGACCAAATACCCTAAATGAATCCCAGTGTTTAAATTTACAAATTTACAGATATGATGTACATAATGTACTTTTAATTACGTCATGAACTTGTTTTAATTTTCGGACCTTTTTTATTTTTTTTGGAACAGACCAGAGAGTGAATGTTAAACTAACATGATCTTATATGGTAAAGTTTGTTAACTAAGGCAGTGCTTCTCAAACCTGTCCTGAGTTACCCCAGCACTGCACATTTTGGATGTCTCCCTCATCCAACACATCTGATTTAACTCATCAGCTCATTAGTAGAGACTCTAAGACCTGAATTGAATTGTGGTGTGACTGATGAGGGAGGCATCCAAAATGTGCAATGATGGAGGTCCCCAGGACAGGTTTGAGAAGCACTGAACTAAGGAAGTCTTTCAGTCTGGTGGGGACATCAGCACACCAGCATGCCTTTTAAACAGAGTCCTTGCTGTTTTCAGTTTGGCAGGCTGTAATCTCACTGGTCAGCACTGTGAAATTGTGGCTTCAGCTCTACAATCATCTAACTCCCCCCTGAGAGAGCTGGACCTGAGTAACAATCATCTGCAGGATTCGGGAGGGAAACTGCTTGCTGCTGGACTGAAAAGTCCAAACTGTCAACTCAACATACTCAGGTTTGTGTTTCGCACTGATTAATTTTGTGATTTTAATAATTATAGACACCCTGTCAAGCAGGTTTAAGAGCAAAACATTTTGGGAAACTGCTCTGCATTTTTAACCTAAATCACAGCAGCGTGCATCTGTGAAGGACGCAGACTGTCAAACATACACAACTATTAGCCAGTCATAGCAGTGGGCGTTTACTTCTAAATCTACAATCCTCCACACCTATTCAAACAGAGCGTTCTGATGAGGGGGGTCAAAAACAGGACAGAAAGTAGCCTATTACTTCCAAATTATGATGTTTTTTTATGTAAAAATTGTTAACATTATTAGTGGACCTCAGAGAACAGTTCAAAATAAAAAAACAGAGGCAGTTAATGACCCATATATTTTTTTCTCCATGAATTACTCTACGTTTCACTTCTGTCAATGTCCACTCCATAAATGTGTTTTTTTTTTCTTTTCCTTGGGTATTTCTTTCTATTTTTTTTTTCTTTTTTTAATCTTGCTTTTATTTAAATTTTAACTCACTTCTGGGTACACGTTTGTCCCCAAAATAAGGTTAAGTAGGTGCACACACACACTCGCACTGATTAATTTTGTGATTTTAATAATTATAGACACCCTGTCAAGCAGGTTTAAGAGCAAAACATTTTGGGAAACTGCTCTGCATTTTTAACCTAAATCACAGCAGCGTGCATCTGTGAAGGACGCAGACTGTCAAACATACACAACTATTAGCCAGTCATAGCAGTGGGCGTTTACTTCTAAATCTACAATCCTCCACACCTATTCAAACAGAGCGTTCTGATGAGGGGGGTCAAAAACAGGACAGAAAGTAGCCTATTACTTCCAAATTATGATGTTTTTTTATGTAAAAATTGTTAACATTATTAGTGGACCTCAGAGAACAGTTCAAAATAAAAAAACAGAGGCAGTTGATGACCCCTTTAAAACTTTCAAACAAGGCCTTGTCACATCAAAGTTTGTCATCAAAATGTACTCATCTATTTTCATTTTATTAATCCTACTCACGTTCGGATAGTTTTAAATGCACACAGAAATATTCTAAAAAATATGCTTATTTGTTTTTGTTGGGTCAGCCAAAATAGTGACACAAGGTTCCCAGAAATACAAGCAGAGTTTTTCCCCAATTTCCAATTTTTAAGTCGTTTATGTTGTAGATTAGAAAATGCGTCATCTTCATTCCCAAATGAAAATGTTTTACAGAAAATGACCTTGTTAACAAAAATCTCAAGCCAATTAATTTATTAGCATATTAATTTGAGTAAATGTCTTTCAGTGAATCGTTCAGAGCAGTTCCTGAGTAAATGCCTCATATCGTAACAGACTTCAGCATCTCACCTATATATAT